TTTTCCCTAGTCTAACAAGGCAACACACCCAGCCCTCCTGGGTGAGAATTATTGTCCCTTAAACCAAGCCTGGCTTCAGCTGGGTGCCAAAGGACAGGAATGCCAAGTTTGTCTTGGAAATGTTGCTGTGTATCTTGGTGTGAGTTGGTCTACTCGCCTCACTTGAGAATGGTGCATAGTTGAAAAATCTCATCTGGGCTCCTTCTGGAAAATCTGAGGGTTAAATTGGATGTGAAGTTAAATATAGCAGAGCTGAGTCTGAAGAGAAGTCTGAACTTCATGTCTCAGTCCAGGAAAATGAGGATGAGAACAAATTTGCATGGCTTAGGAAAGGAATAACACAGGAATGCCTTCTTTACTAATTTAAGGAGGTAGGAGAATGGATATTCAGCAAAACGGAGATGAGAAAAACTAGGAACATTTCTGGTGCACAGACCCTCTGCTGGACTCTGTAGACCAAGGTAAGCCTCTGAGGGACAAAAGGCTTTAGGATCTTACTGGAGCAGTGAGGCAACCTCAGCACTGGCAGTGCAACAGGCAAAACATGACTGCATGTCAGGGTGAGAGGTGAGGTTACAGGAATCAAAAGCCGTGGAAAGGGTGGGGTTTGTACCACATTATTATAACTTACAACATGCCCTGTAAAAAAGCTATGATCCAGACCTCCAGCTTTTTCCAATTGTTGCCATAGTCCAGAGGCTGAGATAGGCTATTGGAGAAAGGAAGGATAACCCCAATGAGTTTTTAGGTGGGGTCATGTGGATTTGCAATGTATTTATTAATACTTTTCACTTGCACAGTGGTTCCAGATATTCTTTGAAGATTGCTGGCTGTTTGCTAGGCCCTTTAGAGTGACCTTCAAGACACCATCCATCGCTTACACATCTGTTAAGAAATGAGCAATGCTGAGGACAGGGAGGGGCTCCTTCCTCAGAAATGTTTGGGATCCACTCAGCTGTAGCATTGGCAAGCAGTAGACACCAAGAAGGATGTGCTTGCCCTCAGTTAAGGATACGGTACTGAGAAAGGCAATGAGGAATGTTGTAGAAACTCAGGGTATGTCTGCTGAGGGTTCACCCATTTCTGAGCTGGGAAATCACTCTGAATTTCAGAACTAGATGATCTTTAAGATCCCTTCTGCCCCTAACCATTCTGTTGTCACTCTATGAACTCAGATAGGATATATCTGATATATATATCAGATATAGGATGGTGGATCAGAAGTATCTTGGGGCAGCTCTCACCATGGCTATTTCGTGGGTCTCTGTTGACTAGAATGCAGTCCTTGGCATTGAATAACAGAAGTGAGAAAACCTTGTTTAAAACCAAAATCTGAGCCTGAGAGTCTTGCCTGTCTGGATGGATGCTCCACTTTTTGTGCTGCATCCAGGAGAGGATAGAGGTAGGCATGAAATCTTCCCTAGCTATTTTGCCCATGGCTGTTACCAGCTGTAAGCTGGTGCCTCTTCTCTTGGTGAGGGCCCATGGCTTTCAACAGATGGGATCGAGGCTGTCCACCTCCTGCACAGAGCAGGCCTGTGCATAACTCCTTCATACTGAGGTTGGTATTTTTTTGTGATTCAAAACTGAATCAGGACTGTGATTCACTGTAGCTTGAAATCCTGAGGGACTTTCTGCTGCTCTCAGCACCCAGAGCAAGAGGCAAGGCACACCCTGCTCCAGGAGGCTCCCAGTTCCGAGGCAGGGCAGCATGGCCATTCACTTCCGTCTGCACACCACTTCACTGGGAGCATAATCTGCACACCCTCTTAGAAACCTATGGAGCAGTTGCTTGTACATGCTGAGAGTTCCTCTCAGCAGAGAGCTGCACTACCCCATAGGATAACAAAAAAGATTGGAGGGAACAATAGGTGTTTTTCCATTGGTGTTTTAGGAAAGTTTTCACTTTTCCTTCCACACTTCCAGTATAGATATAAGTCTGGACCAGAACCAAACTTTGTTTTCTCCTACTTCGTAACCACCCCCTTCCCACAAACTGGGAGCTGCTTATGCCATAGCCAAGAACCTCTCACACATCAGTGGCTCATCTTATGGGTCCTACTCCAATTACAAATGTTATTTGCAGTTGTTCCTGGACTGCTGTAATGGAAAGGTCTGAATATGACCAATGCAGTGCTCTTCATACAAGAACAGGTAATATTTCCACATAGTAGTTGGTGTCTTTCCATTTAAATGGGAAAGACAGAAAGAATGGGGACCAGGATCATGGCAACAAGGAAATGCCCAAAGCAAAATGTTTCTGGTAAGTGTGACTCACAAGAGTCAACATATTTCTTCTTAACCACTGGCTAGCTGAGCAAAAAGAGGAAAAGAGGATAAACAGGACAGGACAACAGAACAGCATCTCTGCAAAGTTTCCAGTCTTCCTGCCCAGTCTCTGATCATTAGTTTCCAAATGTCCTTCCCCCTTTTACAGTTCATTGGCAAGGACAGCAGGTGCTTCAATAAGATCCTTTCATATTATGTTTTCCAGGAAGGTACATTTTATAGGATTCTTCAGGATTAAAGTAAAATCAAAATAAAACTGAGAATTGTAACAGCTTGACTTAAGTGCAACTCTGGCAATGATATCCTGATTGCCTGTAAGTTTTTAGAAGCATCTTCCCTTCATTTTCTCTACTAAACTACACACACTCACACACCTGTATATGAATGTATTTATACACACCTGAAACCTTGAAGAACTAGGGGTTGCAAGCCCAGATTAGACCAGCAGTTCACATCCCTAGTTTCTTGTTTACAAGAGTGGTCGTTGCTCAGTGCTGTAGAGGAATGTGTAGAAAGCACTTTATGAACCAGTCCTCAAGATACTCTGCTTCAGGAAGCTCTTTCAGCCTGCAGTCATTAAAAGTGAGCTTCAACCTGAAATACATACCATAACTTTTGCAAGTACCACTGATTGGTTTAGATAAGTCTGGATATAGCTGTCATCCATAATTTCTTTATGTCCATGCTAAGCTGTCAGGCTCACGTTCTTCAGTGGCAGGGGGCTAGCCATGCACCGCATGGCAAAAATGAGACAAGGGCTGTTTAATCACAGACTGGTTTGGGTAGGAAAGGACCTTAAAGCTCATCCAGTTCTAAACCCCTGCCACGGGAAAGGACACTTTCCACTATACCAGGTTGTTCCAAGGTTTCCCTAGATCAGGTAATTAGCTGCTTGAAATGAACACCTTGAGTATCTTTTCCATTTGTGGGCAGGCTGGGAGCAGTTCTCTGTGTATGGGATATTCTCAATGCAAAGATGCCTGCAGAGGGAGATGAGGCTTATCGTTCTAACTAGCTCTATCGGGATACTTTATGTAAAGCTTTTTTTGAGGCCAGAGGAAAAAGACTAGCACTGTGCTCTACCAAAATACTCCCTTTCCCTCCCAACAATGGAAAATAGTATTTTCTCTGAAAACAATGCATCCACATGTTTTTCTTCCATTAGAAAATAATATATTCTGCTTAGTCTCCAGTACTGGCAAAATCAGAAATATATTTTCCCTAGCAATACTAGGATATCTTATGACATCTTGGAGATGTGGACACCAAAACCATAAAGTTTTTGTACTGTTCCTTGACATAGGGTGAGTTTCCACTGCACTTTTAGCCTGAGTTTGAACCCTGACTTCAGCCTCTCCACACAGAGAAGCCTCCCTGGGGGTGGTTTAAGCCAAAGTGAATTCAGCAGAGGGGATAGATAAGAAAATGCTGCTGTATTTCACTTGAGTTCAAATCACCCACTCACAAGGACTGCTTGTTCTCCATTTCCTTCCCAGACTGCTCCTTACAGGATAAACATGTTCTCCATAGCTGTGCTGCACGTACCAGTGCAAAAGTAGTAGAAGTATTTATATTTATCTTTATTTTCCTTATCAGTGAATAAAATCCGAACACAAGAATAAAGGGTGCAGGACAGAAGGGCTTTTTACTCCCAATCAAAAGGTAAATTGTACTGATAGATGAATAGTACTGGTGGATGCCATTGTGCTGATGACATTTACTGGTGTCCAAAACTCCGTGTATAAATTCAGAATAAAATTTGATATAAATTAGAAATATATTTTTCTTTTTTATTTCCCTGATACTTTTTTTGTTAGGAAACTTGGAACTTAGTTCTTAAAGTACAGTTATCTGTAGGAATCTGCTTAGCAGAGATCCAGACTTCAAGTAAATTTGGAAGGTTCACAATTGTATACTAAATCCTGGAGTGTGCTCACAAGGAAAAGCAATGTTGGACAAATGCAATGCCAACACAGTTTTCATTCTCTTGTTACATCTTGGAGCAGAGACAGATGCAACCCAATATGAAATTCAGAATTGGAAGCTGCTCATCTTCTGTAGCGTTTCTGGTGGAAACCAAAGAACAGAAATTCAGAGTGTGTTTATTTTAATGGATTTTCATCAGAAAACAAGAGCCTATCAGTATGCCATGTATCAGATGTAATACCATGGAAACAAATAATTAGTATAGCCTCAGATTTTCTAAACTCTCTGATATTAAGCTGCAAACCCTCTGTCAGTCTTCTGCTGACATTGCCCCAGGAAGCTATTTGTTTAGTACCTCTTGCTACTATGTAGGATCAAGCAAATTCCTCTGCCTTTGTGGCAAGCCAGATCTCCCTGAACTCAAACTGGGAATAGATGGATAGATGAGGAAGCCTGAAGCATTGCTAAAGAAAATCAATGCAGATGTATCTGACACTTGACAACATATTTTCCTGATTTGAAGTGAGTCAAATTTAGGATGAGATTTAATTGTCAGCTCACTGTACATCTGGCATTGCACTGCCCAGTGGCAACATGTCCTGAATTAATCCTAGCCGGCACTAGGGCTCACAAAAATAATGATACAGCAGCTAATAGGGATTGATATTTTGTCTGTGAAATATCTGTTTTTCTTACCTGGACATAAAGTTAGAATGAGTAAATGTAGGATCACCTTCATCAGGGACTGTAGCGATAAGACAAGGGGGGAATGGGTTCAAACTGAAACAGGAGAAGTTCAGGTTAGATATAAGGAAGAAGTTTTCCCTGTGAGGGTTCTGAGGTGCTGGCAGAGGGTGCCCAGAGAAGCTGTGGCTGCCCCATCCCTGGCAGTGTTCAAGGCCAGGTTGGACACAGGGGCTTGGAGCAACCTGCTCTAGTGGAAGGTGTCCCTGCCCATGGCAGGGGGTTGGAACTGGATGAGCTTTATGGTTCTTTCGAACCCAAAACACTGTATGATTCTCTCTGGATCTGATTGACTTTCTTAGGTGACCTTGGGCAGGTCCCTCCATTTCTCTGCGCTTCAGCTTATTAAGTTATAGTTTTCTTGATTTCTCCATTTATATTTTATTCACCTCAAAGCAGAATGGTTTTGCCTCTTTATATATTTTTATTCACCTTTCAGTGTGAAGGTGATAGTCACATTCAATATTTGCAGCAATCTCCTCATTAAAAGCTCACTCTAAACCATATCACCCAAGGCCTCGTCCAACCTGGCCTTGAACACTGCCAGGGATGGAGCATTCACAACCTCCTTGGGCAACCCATTCCAGTGTCTCACCACCCTAACAGGAAAGAATTTCCTCCTTATATCCAATCTAAACTTCCCCTGTTTAAGTTTTAACCCATTACCCCTTGTCCTATCACTACAATCATAGAATCATAGAATAGTTAGGGTTGGAAAGGACCTTAAGATCATCAAGTTCGAACCCCCCTGCTATGAGCAGGGACACCTCACTCTAAACCATATCTCCCAAGGCCTCGACCAACCTAGCCTTGAACACTGCCAGGGAAGAAGCATTCACAACCTCCCTGGACAACCTATTCCAGTGCCTCACTACCCTAACAGGAAAGAATTTCCTCCTTATATCCTATCTAAACTTCCCCTGTTTAAGTTTTAACCCATTACCCCTTGTCCTACCACTACAGTCCCTAATGAAGAGTCCTTCCCCAGCATCCCTATATGCCCCCTTCAGATACTGCAAGGCTGCTATGAGGTCTCCACACAGCCTTCTCTTCTCCAGGCTGAACAGCCCTAACTTTCTCAACCGATCTTCATACAGGAGGTGCTCCAGTCCCCTGATCATTCTTGTGGCCTCCTCTGGACTTGTTCCAACAGTTCCATGTCCTTTTTATGTTGAGGACACCAGAACTGCACACAATACTCCAGGTGAGGTCTCAGAAGAGCAGAGTAAAGGGGCAGGATCACCTCCTTCGACCTGCTGGTCACACTCCTTTTGATGCAGCCCAGGATACGGTTGGCTTTCTGGGCTGCAAGTGCACACTGCTGGCTCATGTTCATTTTCTCATAGACCAGCACCCCCAAGTCCTTCTCCGCAGGGCTGCTCTGAATCTCTTCTCTGCCCAGCCTGTAGCTGTGCCTGGGATTGCTCCGACCCAGGGGTAGGACCTTGCACTTGGCATGGTTAAACTTCATGAGGTTGGCGTCAGCCCACCACTCTTTCTGATGCAGCCCAGCATACAAATGATATAAAATTATATCTCAACTCCAGTTTGCTTTTGGAGGAATATTTTCATGCAGCCCATGAAGTACAACCAGCTTCAAATATTTCAGTAACTTTGAGGAACTTTTGAGATTAAAACACACTGTGCTTGTTGCTCATAGAATTATGGTAATACGCAAGATTGAAAATCACAGCAAAAGCAAAATATGCCAAATTAATGCTAAACACCACAGCCCTGAGTATGTTGAAACCGTTCTTTGCTGGTGCCTGTAATGTTGTGTGAGTTTGATCCACCAGGAAGCACTTGTTTACAGCCTCAGCAATTTCTATTTCTCTTTCGCAAGAGGAAGGCATCATATTGTCTCAATCCTGCCTCAGTTATCTGGTTTGTTGCTCTGAAGTCATATTGCTCAAGCTCCAGTCTCATTTTCTTCAGCAGTGAAAGTTGTATGGATGAAGCAATATCAGGAGCAATACAATCAAATTACAGCCATTTCTTGGGAAAAGAGTAAAAAATGATAAAAGCAAGCTGAAGGGAAGTAGACTTGGGAGAAGATTCTGAGCAACTTGGTGACACCGAAAAGGAGGAAGGCAGAAATTACAATGGTCTCCACAGAGAACATGAAAGTTATAAAGAAAGAATTCTTTCTGCAGTTGAAGATTACAACAGTATCTGTAGGAGATAACTGGTATCATCAGGAGCTTTACAGGAATTAATTGTATTTAAGCAAGTTATTGCTGATAGAGGTTACAGGGATCATCACTAGTTCTTGGGAGACTTTCCCACACTTAGTCTTGAGAATGCTTGGTATGCATTAGGCATTGCTAGGAGGGACTTAGCCCAGATTTAGTCTCTACTGCAGTCCTAGTACTTCAATATTTAGCTTTAAAAGGAGATGGTTTTAGAGGGGCTTTTTACAAGGGACTGTAAGGACAAACAAAGGGGAATGGCTTTAACCTGCCAGAACAGGGGAGATTGAGATGAGCTCTTAGGCAGAAGCTCTTCCTGTGAGGGTGCTGAGGCGCTGCCACAGGTTGCCCAGAGAAGCTGTGGCTGCCCCATCCCTGGCAGTGTTCAAGGCCAGGTTGGACACAGGGGCTTGGAGCACCCTGCTCTAGTGGAAGGTGTCCCTGCCCATGGCAGGGGTTGGAACTGGATGAGCTTTAAGGTCCCTTCCAACCAAAACCAGCCTGTGATTCTATGATTCATCCATTGAAATGCATCAAGTAGCTGGGCTGCTAGAGACACCTAAAATCAAAGTAGATCACTGGGCAATGCACACTGCAAATTTAACCCCAGAACATGACTGTGCAGATCCTCACAGTTCTACTTGAGGTAAGGACACTAGGCACACTTAGTATCTTGGAAAGCTATAATCTTTCCATATATCTTTTTCTGGTAGTCTGACCTTGAAGTTAGGATATGCTGAGTAGTATAAAAAGATGATAACAGGAGTTGGTTTTTCTAAGCTTCATCCTTATCACATATAATAGCGCAGAAGCAGAGCCTGGCTGTCAAACAGCTTGGTAAGCTATGGAGCAGATCAGTAAGATGCTTCTTCCCAAGCTGCTTACGTGTCTCTGACAGTCACATCATGTTTTCCATGTTCAAAAGCTGATACCTTTCGCACAGAGATTCATGTAGTGCTTTTTCCCTAGTGTGCAGTCTCCTTCTTGGTATAGAAGGGAATAATAAGAGCTAATATCAGGTTTTCTTTCTGTGCAGAGGGAGAGCATACACCTGACTGTGCATCTGCAGATGGTTTCTGCAGTTAGCAGTAAAAAATAGGGGTTTCTACCGTTTCAGGTATGGCTTAGGCGGTGAACAGTACAGTGTGTCTGATAACATGAAATGCATGTAATCCCATCACTAGCTTTGGTCAGGAAAAGAAAATCATAAACAAAACTTCAGTGAACACCCTGACTTCATCCTAATTCTTGCTCTTGGTACAAAGTTTGTTTCTCTAAATAAAGGTCTCTCTTGCAAATAATAAGGGGACGCTGAGAATTTCAGTTACATCTGAGTGATGAAGTGTTAGAACTCCTTCCCAAAGCAAGTCTTTAGCTGATCAGATAAACATTGCACAAACATTTCTGCTGGGGCTGCAAAATCTTTTCTCTCCAGTGTGCCTCAGCCTAGGAGAATGAATAAGGACAGCAGATGATGCTGAAGAGATGTGTCTGCTGCATTTCCTGATTGCAGTAGACAAAACACACATAAAGATTCCCCCCTTTCTTCTCTTAAAATTAATGCTGATCTGACACAACGCCTTCTCTTTCCTTCCCCCAAAATCTGGTATGGTCCCTTGAAATATAACTTAAAGTCTGGGTAGTCTACAGAAGTAGGATCTTTATAGCTCTCCAGCCTCTATAATCTACCAGCAACTGTGTGTGTAATCACAGGGAATCAAAGCTTCCTCTGAGAGGAAATTTAGGCTAAAACGAAGAAAGAAATAACAACAAAAAATTTGTTATATTTAGGGAAAAAAAGGAGGTAAATAAAAATACTGTTCTCTTGCAAAATCATTACTATCACAAGTGAGGGCCCAAGAGCTCATTGCCTGCCCTAAAATCATATTCAAAGCTGCATATCCAGCAGAGATCTTGACCAAAATTTTCCCCAGAAGCTGGCACATTGCTGTAAGAGGGCATCACAGTGTGGGCATGGTGTACCTTCTCACTGCAGAAATGTGATGCATCATAAATTATGCTCAGTATTTTAAGGGCATTAATTGATTTACTCTCTGCAGAAAACACTTCAGACAAGCTGAGTTTAGGTAGAATCATAGGATTGTTTAGCTTGGAAAAGACCTTAACCCAGCACTGCCAAGCCCACCATTAAACCATGTCCCTGAGTGATACATCTTGACATCTTTTAAATACCTCCAGGGATGGTGATTCCACCATTGCCCTGGGCAGCCTGTTTCCAGCCCTTTCAGTGAAGAAATCTTGCCTAATACCCAATCGAAACCCCCAGTCTCTCCAGATCCCTCTGCAGAGCCTTCCTACCCTCCAGCAGATCAACATTCCCACCCAACTTGGTGTCATCTTCAAACTTGCTGAAGGTGCACTCAGTCCCCTTGTCCAGATAACTGGTAGAGATATTAAACAGTGTGGTTGTGACCAACTAGATTTAACTCCATTCACCACCATCTTTTGGGCTTACAAATCCAGCCACCTTTTTACTCAGTGACCAGTACACCCATCCAAGTGTACCAGTCATCTAACAGGAACAGAGCTACTGCAGATAGAAGTGTTGTTTATCCACTGCAAGTAAGAGAGTTGTTTATAAGTGAGTGTGGTCTTGAGGGGCCCATCCTTATTCCTGTCACGTCTGCAAAGCTGCCTGGGAAACATCAGCAAACTGTGTGCACAGCAGATCTCTGTGAACACATGAAGCCAACTTTGTCGCTCCCAAACACTGGTTTCTGCCCTGGGAAAACACAGGCAGTCACCTGCAATTCAGGAATGCCTCCAGTTCTCCCTTCTTCTTGATGGATTCCCCGCTATTGCAACACTCTGACTTTGTTCGTGCTGAAACTACCTCTCAAAAAGATTAGGCTCTGGCATGAAGCTGTGCATGCTGAGGCTTAAGCCAAACTGAGAGCTCAGGATGCTGTTTTCTAAACTAAAAGCTAAGGTGATGTAGCTTTTATTTTGGCACAAAGAAGAACTGCTGTGTGTGCTTGCTGGAGGGGTAAAAGCAGGGTTTATAAACAACGTGCACCTGAGGTTCAGAGGTTTGGCTCCTATTCCACATTTAAGCAG